TAGTTACTACAGAATATGCTTCGCCGATAATTGAAAACGCAACGGTACGAAGGAGTGACATAGATAAAGACAACCTTCCAGTTGGCATGAATTGAGCTTTAGCGCGAGTTCAACAAACCGAAAAAATTCTTGGCATAATTCAAAAGACAAGGGACACTGTAAAGTAACGCCACAAAAATCTTGCAAATCATTCTTCTAACATGTCCGAAAAATGCGTAGAACATGCCAATCTATTGCACGTAAACTGCATAAGTAACAATAGAAGATGAATATAAGGATAAATATGTCCGGCGTTCGAAAAAGAGAACCGGAAAGTGAATAAGGGTTTGTTTATTTATATAACGTTTTATACATTTTTACTAGATCTGCTCTTTCATTTGTAGCACTTAAAGAATACGGTTTCATATTCTTGGATTTTGAATACATCCATTAATTCCTTTAGCATCCATTAGTTCGTTGATAAAAAGTTTAGATAAGTCTTTCAAATGCACTAATAAATATTCACTTTAAATATATTATTAAAATATATTTTTAATTTGGTATTCAATTCAATTAAATTCATAATGAATAATTTTATTTATTTATTTATTTTTTTTTTTTTTTTTCATAAAGTCGTGTGTCGTATGTCGTATCGGGAGCTTTATATCACTAACAGCTGATTAGAATCTGATAACAGCCATCAGAAACACATTGTAAATTTGCTTCCATGCGATTAATAATAACATATTGTTTGAGTTTTTCAGTCATTGCTAGCACGTTTTTGAATGCGTCAAAGTTCATCCGTAGCATTAGATTATATCAAATTTTAATCCATAGAAATTTGTACGGAACTGTGTTATGAGAAAAAAAAAAAAAAAATTAAGTTTTTTAAGCATGCAAAGCTAAGTAAACTATAAGGAAGTAATTAAATTATTTTAAAAATTAAGTCCAATTTGATCTAAGAGATCAATAGACGTTCCATGACGTTTTTATTTTGTCGTGTCCTTGTGAATGGTACATAAACAAAAAATAAAAAAAAAAAACACGCAGCAGTAAACGGTGGAAAAAAGCTATAGAAAATCAAGGCCAAATATCGTCCAGGTTTTTTTTTTTTCTTTTGTTTTTTTTTTTTTTTTTTTTTTTTTCTTAATAATCAGTCAATCCGTCAAAAAGTATTTATGAAGCAAACGTTTGTGAAGCAAAAATTTTATTACTAGTAATTATTGTCGGTCTTTTCATGCATACTTCCGGGAATTTTAACCATCTCAAATGTTTACTTGACATCAGTACCATGCTTGCGTATATATGTATATATAGATAAGTATACATGTTTTCGTCATATAAGAATTCGTAAATTTGTTTTATTTTAATGCTTGCTTGAGGCCAAAAACGAAGCAATTCTAACAAACAATTATTTCTCTTAAAACATACTCATACATATATTTACATACATTTTATATGGATTTTATACACATTTAAACATACATTGTATAATTGAAAGCATATAATATATAAACAAAATTTATATGTGTGCATGTATATATATATATATAAGCAGGAATACACAACAGCGTATGTATAGAGGGAGGAGGCAATTGTCATAAATAACAACATTAATCCCGGCTAAAAGAAAAGCACAAATGGTTATTATGTATAAAAAAATAAAAAATAAAAAAAATACATCGACGTAAAAATGCTGGTATGAATGGCACACACAATGCAGGATAAAACAATTGCAAGTAACTTGCTCTGAACGCAATGAAGCGGCCTCACATTTTACACATAAGAAATTCACTTTCAATAGAATTGAAAGTAAAGCAGGTCTCTTGGGATGTTCCTCCGTCTAAAATTTATTTTAGTCATTTTTAAAGTCACTTAATCACTGGGCAATAAAATACTAATTTTGAAGCTTCCGTTTTTACTTATCATGAGCAAAAAAAAAAACATCTTATAGATCACGCTATTAGAAAAACTTTTCATGCGTTTCTCTAAGAAATCAAAAGCGAAAATTCTAATTTTGTTTTATTAAAAAGTAACACAATCCACGAACGGCATCGATGGAAAGTTAAACCTGACACTGCCCTAATACAAATATAGAGAGGATATGCCATTCAAATAAAGACGCAGAAGTCCTTGGTATACATTTCTTTGATACGCTTAGAATTAAAAACGTGTTTTTACTCGTGATTGACTGTCCATCCGTCTGTCCATCCATCTCTTTGTTCTACTATAGCAAAAATTTTCTAAATTTATAAAATGAAACTAAGAAAAAAAGCATATATTTCCGTTCAAATCAAAAACCAAACCAGGAAAGGTGCAAGTGAAACACAGATGCTAAGCATAATAATGGAAACCAAGTAGCCTGCACAGAAAGTCGATTTCAACATGAAAAGCTGACGTCAGTTTAATATTCAAAACTAAAAAAGGAAAAAATTTGTAACTTGAACGTATTGGTCAAAATTTGTGAATGAAAGCAGACCATCTATAATAAGACAAAATTAAAATTATTTTAACAAAACAAATGTCAATATTTTATTACCTTCGAATATTTACAGAATGTGTGTGAAAATTCGACCTAAAAATGATGTCAATTAACCTCTTGATAAATAATCGAGGTAATCATATATCATGTGAATGCAATTTGATTCCTCTTACCATCACCTACAATTTTCTTGGGAGTTCACCGCATTATGCTAGCAGCGAAAAATTTGCATTAAACATTAAGACTGGCCCGGCAAGCTTTTGAACGAAATTTTCAATTAAAATCTTCTTTTAGGCAAATGTAAGTAAATCACCATAATCATATATCTATATATGGATATAGTTTGAGCGGATTAAATGCCTAACCCTTTAATTCTTTTCAAGAATCGCATACGTTTATGTCGGCAGAAACATAAAACCAGCATAATAATGCTTAAGCAAATCCCTTTGAACTGATGAACTGGTGCAGATTCGTGATTATTCTAAAAACAACTATTATAGCGTTCGTCCTTACTTCATATGCTTTGGAATTTTTATGCATGATCTTTCGATTTAATTTGTAGATGAGGTTAACCTGCGCCCATATGCCTTCAAATGACATTCGTTTTGGTCGCTGCTCATGTAAAGAACCAGGAAATTGCAACTTTGGCAATATTCGTTTTTTATTAAAATTAATTACTTGCCGGGCTAAACATATTTTTACTCTTCTATGAAAGTCTTACAAGAGATTATTAGAAAAGAAGTCGCTTAACAGAAAACAAATTGGAAAACTAAAAGCACAAGAAAAAAAAAAACATATGCGGAAATTTAATGAAAACATGATTTGTGTTCGTACATTTGTTGCTGGTTACTTGCTTGCTTGCTTGTCTGTTAAGGAAGGAAATTATGTTGCAGTTGCAAGAAATGGTACAAAAGGCACATTACTGAACGATACAAACTTGTTTTTATAAATATATATATATATATATATATATGTTTGTTAGTGTAGGTTGCGGTGGAAATGAAATGTCACGGATTTTCTCATTAGTTTTAATCAATGTGTTATAAGTAAACGGAAATTATAGTAAAGAAAAAAATATAAATATAAATGAGAAACTAAAAATTAATTTGCTCATCTTACCTGCATTAGATATAAAAATGTTAATTTCGTAATTTGCAGCGATATTCGTTTATATATAAAATTAAATATATATATATTTTTTTTTTTCTTATTTTATTGCTCACGAGCACGTTTTTTGTTTTGTTATTGTTTTTAAAATATTTTTCTTTTCGTTTTTTAGGTTAAACAATTTCACTAAATAATTTTTTTTTTTTCGCTTTAGTTACACAAAAAATTTTGTTTTACTGATTAATACTATTGCTGTTTGGCCGTTACTGTTATTGTTGTTGTTATTGCCGATGTTGCGATTGGCAACAACAGTTTTATTTGGTATTATTAAGTTTCAGTTATTATATAATTTGATTTGTTGCTCGTTCTTGCAGCTCATTAAAACTTGCGCTGGAATTATTACAAGATTTCTCATTTATATTTTCTTACATTAATTTTTCCTTTTTCTACTTTTTTTTTTTTTTTTGTTTGTTCAATGCTGTTTTGCTTATTTTTGCATGAATTGACATGAAAATCTTTATTTTTATTCGACCGTTCGACCGTTCCTTTATATTTTGCAAAACCTTTTATTATTCTTGCTTTGTTGTATTAATTGCAGATGATGAAACCCATCCTTTCGTTTTATTTATTTTTTATTTCACACAAAAACAAAAAATTTTCACTTTTAACGCAATTTCTTCCGCAAATCGCGACTCACGACAACACTCAGCTGTTTAAAAGTAAAATAAACATTCAGTCATTTCATTTTATTTAATATAAGACAAATAAAACACAGAGATGGCAATAAATGAAGAGACTGACTACGAAACTACTGCAGCGAGTTCGAATTTGTTGCCAACTGAGAATAGTTAAATGAGCGACTCTTGCATTTCTGTTGTTGATTTGAAGAACAAGAGAACACATCTGTAATTATACAACAAAATTTATTTCTCAGAGTAAAATTTACTTTGCCGTACATTTGTTACGGATGCCCTGGAGAAGGCGAGAATACAATTTATTTCTCAGAGTAAAATTAAACGAACTGTAAATGAAATGCTGTTATGTTATATCCGATAACTTTAGTTATCCTAATGCTGTTGAATATCTTAACGTTATTCGGTTATCGAAAATCTTAGAATGTGACATTGATTACTTTAGTAATGTGAACTAATAATTTATGCCATGATTTAACTTTTAAAAATTTAATTACAATTTTTATTGCTTATTGACAATGGAATTGTCGATCTATCTTCATATCATGGACTTGGGGATATTACTGATGTGAGGTTAAATCTCTCTAGGCCTGATAGATATTATTACTCCTAGTTTTCCTATCATTGAAAATAACATGAGAATTGAAAACGCTAGTATAATTTTAATGGCACAAATGTTAACAATACTGATTTTGAATCTCTTGTATCGTATTTTAAAGCTATCATATATAAAACAACAACATTTTGTCATTTTGACAGCTCAGTCGGATATTTATGATTTTGCAGAAAATTGTTAAAGAAAATTGAATTTAATAAATAATTATTGACAAAAAGCGTAAATTAACAAAATAAAAGGAGAAATGACTGGACCTAATGTTAATGTTGCTAGTTACTTGGCTAGTCAAAAAAAAAACAAAAATAAAGAATTGGCAGCCGAGTGGGCGACTTTGGAGGATTTGTACAATGAAAAGTGAGTTAACAAAATGAAATGCGGTTACCGTTGTAATCATCTTACCATTGTTTTTATAGATTATGGAATGAATTAACTATAAAACTAACACGTTTTGTACGTCATCCCGCTTTACAAAAAGAGTCAATTTTGATGCAATTGTATCAAAATTTTATACAAACATTTGAAATGAAGTAAGTTTTTTATTTGTGTGAGGTTATAGACGTATTGGATTACTTTGTTTTGTTGTTTTTAGGATTAACCCTTACGGTTTGGTGCAAATCCTAGAGGTAGTTGTCGAGCATATATCGGATAAAAAGGAAGCCATTGAATTTTTGACTAAACTTAAAGATAAAATTAAAATTTGTGATGAAGCCGTTTGGTACATACAGGTGAGTTCACAAGATCACTAGATGCATTGTCAATATGATTGACATTTCATTACGAACAGGTCCTGCAAGGCAATATTTACCTTACATATTTAAATGACTTGGATGCTGCTAAAAACATAATTGAAGAACTGCGAGACGTACTGGAAGAAGTTGGAAATGTGACGCCAGTGCATGGCAAGTACTATATGTTAGCGTCTCAGTACTACCGCCGCGTAGGCAAACATAGTGATTATTATCGCTGCGGTTTACAATTCTTGGGTTGCTCTCTGGATGAATTTCCTAGAGATCAATGGGCACAACAAGCTTTTTTTTTGGGCTTGGCAGCCCTACTTGGTGATGGCATTTATAACATAGGAGAGCTGGTAAAATAAGGTCACCTTATTTATTTACTAAACTAACAATTTCCTTTTACACATTTCAGTTGGCTCATCCAATTTTAGCGTCTTTAAAAGGTAGTCCAAATGAATGGCTTATCAATTTGTTAAAGGCTTTCAATGCCGGAGACATAAAAAGGTAGTTTTCAAAAAGACTTGTAAACTAAATCCAATTTAAATAAATTTCCTTCTTTTTTAGATTCAATGAAATGAAACCTACCTGGTCTAAAATACCGGATTTGCTTGCCCAAGAAGTTAAATTACGTCAGAAAATTTCTTTACTCTGTCTAATGGAAATGACTTTTAAACGTTCCGCTACGCAACGCAATATATCCTTCGAAGATATTGCTAAAGAAACGCAATTACCTTTAGATGAAGTTGAATTATTAATTATGAAGGCCTTAGCTCAGGATTTAGTGCGCGGCGAAATCGATCAAGTGGCCGGTGTCGTCAATATGTCTTGGGTGCTGCCACGTGTTTTAGATCGCAAACAGATAGCCGGTATGGCCACAACTCTCGACACCTGGATGGCCAGCATTAGTTCAATGGAGAAATTGATGGAAACACGTGCTGCCGAAATATTGACAAACTAGCTTTTAAAGTAATATCACATCTGCGAAATTAAAATTTTTCTAATTCACAAAATTACAATAAAAAGCATTTTCAAGAATAAATTGAACAAATAATTGATATTTAGATTGGAATCAATAGAACAACAAACAAAGGGCAAAAATTTTATTGTAGACGAAGAGAGCTAATTATTATATCTGAACTATGGATTAGCGAGGAAATATTAAAGGGGTAATCCGTTTCAAGTCTTAGTACGAATCACAAATGCTCCTTGGTTTGTGGTTTATTAAGTTTTACATACCGTCTCAACGTTTGAAATAATTTGCTTTACCAGTAATTACTTTAGCAGATTAAATCTGCGCCGTAATTGTTATATTCTGCTAACAATATTTTCAATATTCTATGAATTTTTTTTAGGAAACAATTCATAAAATTATGCATAGAGGGTAAAGACGTAATTTAATTTGGGTTTTTTAAAATATAATTTATTTTTTGTAATATATTTAATGAATTAAAATGTGTAAACACGAAATAAATCCGGAAGTGAAGTCTAATAAGAATTTTATAATATTGTTTATTGCACTTTTCAGTTGCTTTTTTTTAGGCCTGGAGCCAACCTAATATTTTCCCATTTTGCCAATGTCTTTTGGGATGGCGCCTTTCGTTGTCAGATTTGGTCATAAAATTTTATCGTACACACATTCAAAATGCATTTATAAAGATAATGTTTTTAATTATCTCCTAAATAAATATTCGTTTACGATAGAAGAAAGAAGAAGAGTTTTTGTAAATAGATTTTTTTTCTTTTTAGGTAATCGAAGAAGATGCAAATCTCTATGAAATATCTTGGAGGAAAATGCAGATCACTTCGGAATATCTCTAGTGATTCTAAGATTATGGCAAAAATATTTGAATAAAACTCAAAATGGAGCATAAATGAAAATTTTTATCATAATTCACTTTTAATTAACTTTTATTTTATTTACGGTTCATGTTTTTATATTTACAAATTTTTTGTTATTTTTATAAGAAGAGACAAGAATTTATGTAAAAATTCTTTTTCATCTTTCGGTAATTTTTACAAACTTAGTAATTAGTAATAGTAGTTCATCTTATTTTATTTATCTTTGTATAAATTAATATAAAATATATTGAAGTCGGATTAGTAGTATTTTGTTTCATTATAATCATCATCAGTCAATTAATTCATTACATTTGTAAATTGTCCTCCTCATCTCAATGAACAATTTTCTTTTCTTTTCTTTTGTATTTTTTTTGTTTTTTTTTTGTCAGAATATCTTAATAATTATAAAGCCTTATGGAATTGTTGTCTAAAATATTATAAATAGAGAAAAATTGAAAAATAAAAATAAATGTTAAAATTATTTATAATACAATGCAAAACAAAAATGCAATAATAATTGATATGAAAATAAAAAAAAAAATAAATAAAAAATTATATAAAAAAAAAAAAAAAAAATATTAAAAAAAAGCAGACTATTGCGTTTTATATGTTTATTAATTTTAATTGAAAACATGTCCTTATTTATTTTGTTCCCCTTGTTTTAGAAAAAAAGCTAACTACAACTACTTGATAATTTCCAGCTTTTATTACTATTTCTAAAACAGTCTTTAAATATTTAAACAACGCAATTTGCGTTCTGGCATACGAGAAGTAAATTGAAAGTTGGCCGACATTTTTAAATGTTCACGTAAATCATCATCTCGACGTATTTGTGCCGGATTTGCACCCATTACAGATCCCAACGGTATTTTACGTAGTTGCAATTCATTTAAAACCAAAGATTCCAATACAAATAAATGCTCATCATCAACGTCCGGTAATTCGTCGTGCATGAATTGCGCCAAACGTAATAAATATTCAGCATTATGTCCGCTTGGTCCACGGCATTCAACAATTTGTTGAGCTATACGTTCAGGTATATCCTCACCTAGCCAATGCCGGCTATGGATATCTGCTAAATAAACTATTACTTCTTCGGCTTTACCAATGAAGGGCGTCTCATATGAAGAAATGCGTGGATAAAATTTTGTTTTTACAGTTCTATAACCACCTAAAATATATTATCAAAATGTTAATTTTATTATGTTATCAGAGAGAGACAGAGAGAGAGAATTAAAAATTTCAAATAATTTTTACCTAACGTGCATTCGCGTTGCTTTAAATAATCTAAAGCAACTTGTCCAGTTATTTTGTAGGCGCAGCCCCAGCATAATCCCTAATAATAAAAATAAATCAAATGGCAAAAAAAAAAAAAAGCCATATTGCGCTTAAAAGTATGTTATAAATATTTGTTTAATTAAAATAAGACAATAGTTTTTCATTCATTTATCATTTTTTACAATAATTTCTAGATACTTTTTACGTAGACCTTATGTATTAATATACAGCACTATACAAAATTTCCGCGAGAGTATGTATAGCTGCTTTCGAGTCTTCTATGCTTGTCTTTCGGGGTTACTTACGAGTTCTTAGTAACTCCTGCTGTTATACCCTGGGAAAAGTCCCCGGGTCTAGGATAGAAAGTATCAAGGCGTAAAAAGTATTATATTAAATGCCCCGAGGGCTCTCTCGCGTTCGCGCGTTAGTTTTCTTCTGTGCATTTAAAATAATATTCGCCTATATTCCATGGAAATTCTCTTAGCATGAAAATCAATGAAGAGTCAAGTTTTGACGAATTGAAATGGCTAAGTGTCCATGGAAACGTGCCAGATAAAAATTCTTAGCAATAGACAACCGAAATGCGTGCCGGTTTTCTCTCAGAAATCGGAATGTGTTTACATAATGGGGCTTACATTGGGAGATTCGGACACACAAACTCTCTCTACTTTTTATTTTTACACCTTTTTGAACAGAAAACAGTTGCGGCTATTCGTATGTATTTCGTATACACCTGTACTACTTACCTCATTATCTTCCACAAGTGTGGCTACACGACCAGGCTGTAAAACAAAAGGAAAACAATAAGAAAAAAGTCCATTTCCCTCAAAATATAAAATTTATTTTTAAACGGATTGGATAACAAAAACATAATAAACATATCGATCGTAGTCTCAAGATTCGTGTTAAGTTTATGATGGTGACATATCTTGCTGGATTGCTAGATGTCATCTAAATATTAAAATTCGACGTTACGTATGAAAAAGGGGAAAGAAATAGAGTGATGGAAAAGGGAGAGAGGGAGATGTATGCGTTTAGAGGCATCGTAAAATTGGTGGAATTTTTCTATGAATTTAAGGATTTTTGAGAATCAATTAAGCGTACGTTCGTTTAAGCGAATTTTCAAACATCATTCACTTTAGCTTTCGGACTTTCAGACGACATACGAACTCTGTATGACCACATTGCTGCATCTATTCAGAAGCAGACACTACTCAAGAATATATTTTCATTAAAAAAGTGTTCGGGTATACCTTAGAGCATTAGAGACTTTGATCGTAGGATACACAATCGTATGATTTGCTTGCCAGAAAGTTAAACAAAAAAAGAGTATAATTAATTTGAAAATGGAAAATCGAGTAAAAAAGTTTTAGTTAAATTTACACAATAAATGTTCGATTATGTTTAAATATATGAAGTTTTTTTTTTTTTTTAAAGATAATTGTGCTATCTTTGTGCCTTGTTGGCTCTTAACAATTTCTATTTAAATGTTGAATGCTGAAGATGTTTGCTTTTTACCATTAAGTGGAAAATTGAACAAAATGTTTCTGTTCGATAAAAACGCATGACACAAGAAGACTTTTAATTTCTCTTAAGTATCTATATTAAGTGCCTTTTCATATATTTCAGTAGTTAACAGTACTATTAATATTAATTTTAATAATAATTTATTAATTACGTTACTGACTTTTAAGCATTTCCCCCACATTAGTAGAATGAGAAAGTTTTTTAAATAATTATTACGGCAAAGATTTCCCTATACATTGAATTATAGTTATTGCGTTTACACAAATAGGATAAAATCGAATGCAACGCCTATAAAAATTGTATAAAACTATTCAGGAGACGTACAAGGGGA